TCAGCAGCACAGAGGGACTGGGGGATGCCCGGGGCAGGTGGGGCCGGGATCAGCAGCTGCTCCTCGGGGCATCCCGTACCCCGCGGGGAACGGGGGGGCTGCAGGACCCGGCTCGTCCTGGAGCTGAAGCCCCTGAGCTTCTCGGGCCCTGCTCTGGGCCCGCAGCTGGGGGGGATGCCCAGGCTGTGCCAGAGCCAGCCCTGGGTGCATCACTGTCCAGGGGTGATGCTAAGATGCAGGTGATGTTACCCAGGGTTCTTTTGGTCACCTGCAGAAGCCTGGTGGCTCCAGATGCTGCTGCCCTGGCTGTTCCCCTCTCTAGCAGGTATTTTATTGCATGTGGCAAAATTCCCCACACAGGCAGAGCAAAGGAGAGGAACCACCCTGTCCATGGGGTGCAGCTTTATTTGCCTTGTGCCATTAACCTTCTGGTTAATACTGCAAATCTGGTGTGGTTCAGGTCTCTGATCCTTCCAGCTGCAGGAAATGAGTGGGCAGAGCTGGGGGTGAGCACAGGCTGTGGAGGGAATGGGGTGATCCTGGCAGCAGGAGATGGGGCCAGATGGGAGGACTTGGACTCTGCAGCTTCATGCTGCCCTAGCACCAGCCTCCAGGCCTGGCTCTGCCTCATGCCAGCCTGTCTGTGTGCACCACTGTGCAGTCACCCTGCACATGGGGGCAGTGTGAAAGGGAAGAGTAATATAGCCTCTAATGGAGTCTAGTTGACATCAATGTAATGAAAAAACCTTCCTTACGTGAACTACTCTGGGCAACACATCTCGGGGGGGTGGTTGTGAAGAGAATACTCTAAGTAATAAAACCATGTTAAAGGAAGCACTGAAGAGACTAACTGCATGGCTGAAAGGGATGGAATAAATAACAGAGCAAGATTTATTTATTAGATACTTCATATACTACTCTAACTCTGCTCTAAGATGCCTACTGTAATTGTAAGGCTTAACTCCTTGCTTAGTTCTTCCAGAGCAAGATGGATCATCTGCTGAACCCCAAAGCAGTGTCAAGGAGGACAGCTGTCCTCAGCCCTGTGCCTTGGGTCAACCTCCACTGTCGTCTGCCAGCACTTCTGAAACCCTTGAAAGTAAAACCTCCTCTGCAAGAACTGACCAGCTTAGTACAACAGGTACCACTGCCTGAGTGTTTAAGAGTGTGGGGAAAAATAATCTAAGGCGTTTCATACCAGGACCTGAGCAGCTGGCAGTGCCTCAGAACTGTGCTGCTCTGTGTGGCTTTGGGGGGGAAAAGCATGTCAGGCCATGGAAATAATGAGCTGGAAAGTTCAAAGCAGTGCGATGCAAGAGGAAGTGATGCCATTCAACAAGTGCTTGTCTTTGCTCTGAGCCACTTGCCTGAGGAGCTGAGAGGATGCTCTTGGTGAAGAGGTGGAAGACAGTGTCTTCCCTTCTGCTGACTGAGGTGTTGTTCTGTCAGGTTTAAGGTCTTCCCAATTTCAAGGTGTAGCCCTGTGGCTGGTGTTGCACCTACAAGGAGGGCAGGCCTTGCACTGTGGGGCTGTGGTCAGGCAAAGATATCAGACACATGTGGACACCAGGGAACACTACTGATGTGAGAAGAGTGTGTTTGCCCTTCTATTATCCCAGGGACAACAGAGGAATTTGTCCCCCTTTCTTTCCTCTGCAATGTCACAGCCTAAGTCATATTTTTTACTGAAATAATCTAATGGCTAAAGGAAGAGAAGGTTTTCCACTCTTTGAAGGACAGAAGTGCAGGTCCTTGGCATTCCCCCTTAGAGGCTGGGGCAGTCACCCTTCCATGCTGGTGACTGCTGGAGGTAGAGGTGGAGGAGGTAAAGTATCTTGTGTCTGTAGAGAGCAAACTGTCACACTGTGTCCCCACCCAGTGTCTCCTGTGGCCCCTTGGATCACTGTGAAGAGCCCTGTAGACCTTTCAGGGCACTGGGGGCTGGGAAGAATTGTCCTGCCACAGAGCTCTGCCCTCAGGCCCTGCTGGTGTGAATTTTTCTGCAAGACTCTGAGGGTTTTCAGTGTCTTCCTCTGAACATGCCAATCACAAAGGGATTTGTAAAAGAGCCAGATGAAGAGCAATCAACTCTTGTGGTGCATTGCTAGCAGTGGTACCATTAACAGCCACCAAGCATCAGGCACTTACTAGACTGTCAATTCCCCTGTCTTCTAGGTGGGCAACCATCAGCCATGTGCTTCTGGCCCCAAAAGACCAAGTGCCTCAACCAGGAGGGTCCTGATGCAGAGAACAACTTGCCTGTTATGTCCTTAGGTCGTCGGGATGGCACTGTGGCTCCTGTATCTCTCCAGTCAGCCTCCAGTGTCCTCCAGTCCAAGGACTTAATCCGCTGCCTGCCACCTCACCTCTCCATGTACATCCTGGGTAAAGCTGCTCTGACTTTCCAAGGGCGTTTCCACCTAAGAGTAATGAATGGTCTCTGGTGTTGATATGGGTCAGCCAGTTTGTCCCTTTTTTCATTTCTCAGGACGTTTGGATCAAAAATCCCTCAATGCATGTGCTGCTGTGAACAGCTGCTGGGCTTTTCTGGCCAAAGAAGTCAAGAGGGAACTCACGTGTCAAAGCTCAGTGCGGGACAACATCCGCGTCCTGCAGGTAGGGTGCCTGGGCTTCTGCCACTGCTCAGCACTTTAAAAAGAGGATGTTTTATACACTTGAAAAACTGTTCTATGATTCTGCTACTGCCCAAGCCATTAGAGGGAGATACCTTTACTAGAGGCCACCTCCCAGTTTCGCTCCATTCCTTCTTTCTCCACCTGCAGAGCTGAGCAAGGTTAGATGTTCATGCTGTCACAAGGAAGCACCCCAGAAAGCCTTTGCTGTTCTTTAGAGACCCTGGCACTCTAAACATGGATCAGTTAATTCTTGTAATCAAGAAAGAAGAGTTTGGTAACAAAGGCAAATTCTGTGGAAACTGGGCAGAGCTACAATAGCTCCCTGAGGCAGCTAAAAAATGAGCTTTATTTGCTCCACATGGGAAGATGGGAATGCTCAGTTTCTTTTGGGGAAGTCAGAGCTGGTCGTTGGGACACAGCAAAGCAGAACTTCTAGGACAGGCTTATTCTGGATAGTACAGGCCTGCCACAGACCAAGATAAGTGTAAAGGTAGATCCCCAGAGACCAAGTTAGGGATCTATGCAAGCTTTGGCTATGAAGAGAGCACAGAAACCTCATCTCTGTGCTACCATTTAAAGAAAACTTAATGGAACATTTCACACATGAAAAATGAATCTTAAATATTGATAAAGATGTTCTGAGAGCCTCTTGTCTCAGTGCATTTGGATTCTGAATCAACTGAGTGCTCACCAAAGATGAAATGTGATCTCTTTTCAGTGGTGCCTGTGATAGGACGAGGGCAAATGGCACCAAGTGACAACACAGCAAGTTCCACCTCAACATGAGGAGAAAGTTCTTTGCTGTGAGGGTGACAGAGCCCTGGGACAGGCTGCCCAGAGAGGCTGTGGAGTCTCCTTCTCTGGAGACTTCCAGGACCCATCTGGACACGTTCCTGTGTGACCTGCCCTGGGTGTTCCTGCTGCAGCAGGAGGGTTGGACTTGCTGGTCTTCAGAGGTCCCTTCCAACCCCTCTGGTTCTGTGATTCTATGAATTTTTTTTTTCAGTTGAAAAGAAAAAGTTTTTCAGCTGATTAAAAGCTTAAGACGACACTTTGTAAAGAATAGAGAGCAATTCTTTTTCAGGAAAAGTTAAACCTTCTAGCAACAAAGGGGTAAAATCAAGCCAGGTCTCTTGGGCAGTAACAAGTCCGTGTGTGCTGCTCAGCTTTGTGTGTAACTTCAGCATCCCGTGGAGATGCTGAAGCACCAGCACATGAGCAGCATCCACTGGGTGTGCACAGGCTCTGCAGTGACTGTGTTGCCTCTGCTGGTTTATTCCAGGGGCTGTGCCCTAGAGGAGCAATTTCAAACTATGCCAAGACAGTGGATGTGACAATTCCCCAGTTAAATGAGGAGGGTGATGTCATTGCAGAGCAAGGCGACAAGCTGGGGAGTGAGACAAAGGTATGTTGGAAGTTGTTTGTCTTCCATGAATCCTGTATTTCAATATTTGGGAAGGAAGGAGGACACAGTGGTTTTGTCAGGACAGTGATTTTGGAGTTGCTTTGCTTTGCTGTTTCTGACTTGCAGCAGGAGGGAGCCTGTATCCCTGAGCCTTGTCCCACTGTGTGCCCTGTGGCCAGGGCTGCTGCTGAGGCAGCATCACAAGGACGTGGCCTTTCCAGAACAAAGTTTGCAGGTGTCAGGTCCTCCATCCTTGCCAAGCAACTTGGCATGGGAACAACCCTCATTCTGCACTAACCAGGAAGCTTCTGCACTCTGGATGTTCCTCACCAACACCTTCTGTCTCTGTGGCTCTTGCCACTGTGGTGGGAACCATGCTGCCATGTTCAACACTGTGGAATAATGCTGCATTCCTCCCTCCCTGAGTTACTTTTCCCTGTTTTTCTTCCCATCAGGAAGACAATCTGCAGGCAGCCTATCGTGACCTGAAAACTGAGACAATCCAGCTGGAAGAGAGAAATGTCTTTTGTGGCTCCTACAATATTCGTGTCCTCATGGACCAGTGAGTAGACTGCCCAGCTGCAGGGCCAAACAGCAGCTTCTGGAAACCTGTCCCATTCCCTGCAGGAATGGATGGCTGGAGAAGTATCTCTCAGCATCCATGTTAAGAAATCCTCAGTGTCACACACAGTTTTTTATGAAGATACCAAGGTAAGTTATTTTTACAGACATGAGGGTTAGTGATCCACAGTGTTTCACAAGGGATATGGGCCAGGAGGGGCCTTCTCCCCTCTTGAAGCTCTATTCCCTGGGTGTGCAGAGCCAGGGAACAGGCTGCTCAGGGATGTGGTTAACCTTGGAGGTGTTAAAAAGCCATGGAGATGTGGTGCTGAGTGACATGGCTTAGCACTGGACTTGTTAGGTTAATGGTTGGACTTGGTGATCCTAAAGGTCTTTTCCAACCTGAACGACTCTGGGATTCTGTGTGCAAAGGATTCACTCCCTTAAGCATCTCACCCATCAGGTTGCTCACTGAGGCCCACCAAGCCTCAGAGAAATGACTGTCACAGTGTTAAACCTGTTAGTCCCTTGTTAACCAAGTAAAGCTCATCTCAGCCACTGTCTCTTACCCAGACCAGACCGGAGCAGAGTAATCCATTACAGCGGTGGGAACGTGGTGGCCATTGGCTCTGCAGACAGGAAAGTGAGGCTGCTCAGGATATCAGGAATGGAGGAAATGTCTCCTGGGATGTTGGAAAAGAAGGAAGTGTCTCCTGTGCTCTCTGGCCACGCTGGGAGCATCAGAGCACTTTTCCTCCATGAGGAGAAAGGGTTTGTTCTCAGCGCAGGCTTCGATCTCAGCATCAGGTGAGCAGCACTGGGGCTGGGCCACAGGACACACACCCCTTGGCAAAGCCAGGGGAAATGGAACTAATCCCTCCATCCCAATCTTCAGGAATCCTCCTTCCCTCATGTTCACCAGAGCAACAAAGAAAGGACAGTGGATAAGTGAACACATTCCCCTCTCCCCCAGGACAGCTGCTGTTTCCCAGTTCCACCCCGCACTGAGTGATAAAATAGGAGGATAGTGATGCCAGGTTTTCCTAAAGCACCTGAAAACACCAGATATACTTCCCATAGGAGTTTGCAGTGAGATTCTGGCACTGCTAATGTCAGCATCGAATTGAGGGAAGCTGAGTGACATTTTAGAAAGCCTGTTGTGCCACACAGGCTCAGCACTTTGGTACCTGCTGTGCAGCTGCTCCTTCCCAGCTGCTGCACCCTGATCAAGGGCTGGGGCTGATCAGCTTGCCCATTTATTGTGGAATCCCAAGAGTACCATGATAAGGGATGAAAAGTTAAGCAGCAGGTTTTCTGGCTCTGGCACAGGAATTGCACAAGTTCACCAAAAGCAGAATTTGACACAAGGGGAAGAGTCTGAACTGATCCAGGCTCTGACCTCCCTGCTCCAAAAGGGCTGTTTTTTAGAGTCTGGGCTTGACTTCGCTAGGTAAAGTTCACAGAAATCAGCTTGTTCAGTAAAGAAAGAACTTGATAGAGAAAGCTCTACATATTCAGGTTAATTGAAGGTAATCATGCCAAAGGGGAAATCCAACCACGTGTTTCAGCAGTTCGGAAGGGGAAGATTAAAGTATATGGGTAAAAATACAACACTAAGTGTGACTTGATGGCTCCAAATCCTCTGACACCTCAGTGGAATGACTCCTGATTTTAATTGAGGTTAGATGGGAGAACAACTCAGCCTGTTAAGTAGGAAATAATAAGCCATCAATTAAGTTAATAACTGTATTCCCTCTTCTGTTGGTCCTCTGTAGGTGCTGGGATATATACAGTGGTGCTTGTGTGAAGATCTTCAATGGCCACTGTGGGACGATCACCTGCTTGGACTTACATGAGGAGCAGTTTGTGTCAGGAGCCAGAGATGGGATGGTGAAAGGTGAGAGCCAAGATTGCAGCTTCCCTGACTAAGGCAGGTCGTGGTGAGCAGTGGGCAGGGCACTCAGGAGCTGGCAGTGTGACACATGCAGTGTGTGGGTGTGACAGGGAGTCTGTAAATGGGAGGGTGAATTTTTGTGTATTATATTTCTGCTTCCCAGAAAAGCCCAAGCTGTGAACACATGCAAGGCCTCTCTGTCATGGTATAAATCCTCATTATTTCTGCTTTTATTCAGTTTGAATGGCTTTGGGAAGTTCCAGCTTTGCAAAAGGTTTCCTTATTATTAGCTCATACCTACTTTCTGGACTTGGCATTTACAATTTCAGCCATTCAGTTTTACTTTTCAAGTCAATACTTGGCTACATGCAGAGCTGCATGTGCAAGGCACAACTGTAATTCCAACAGTACCTGTTAATTCATGTTGTACTAAGCAAAACTCAGCTCTGGGGTACATGCATTTTTCATATTTCTCCCCTTTGCCCCTGACAGTGTGGAACCTGAGGAGTGGGAAATGTCTCAGGACTCTGAAGCACAGCAGTGCCCTCTGGGCAGTGAAGATGGATGGAACCCGTGTGGTCAGTGGGAGTCAGCGAGGGCTGGTGAAGGTCTGGTGTGCTGGCACAGGCACCCTGATCAAGGTAAGCTTCTTAGGTGGATCATTTGGTGCTAACTGGTTCCAAAATCTTCTGTACTTATTGGAGCTTTTTGCTTAAAAAAACCAAATATCCTAAAAATCAACCCCACAAGCAGTCTAAACTGGTAACAGAATCTGCAGAATTATTTGTCAGCAAATAATATAGGAACTGATTTGCAAACAACTGTCAGTTTGTACCCAGGGCTTGGTTTGCCTTGCTTAACCCCCATTATTACTTGTTCTCTGCACATTAATCTTTGCTCCTGTAGAAACATTCAGAACCTGGGAAGAGGGTGGGAGAGCTTGACTAACAGTTCTGAGGTGGGAGGATCATCTGTTCATCCAAAATGTACAACTCAGGTGTCCCTGCCCATGCAGAGAGGTTGGAATGTGATGATCTTTAAGGTCCCTTCCAACCTTAACCATTCTGTGATTCTATAACTTGCTCTCAAAACTGGTAACAACTTAAAAGCTGAAGCAGCTGGATGGCTGCTCTGCAATTGAAAGGTTGAGGCCAGTCTGCTAATTACCTTAGCAGCTGTCCACAATCAGAACTAGTTCACATCTGCAAGGAGTGAAGCTCTTTCTACCTGTAGGGAAGAGAGCTGCAAATGGAGCTGCATCCCACCTGCAGGATCTCCCAGCCCCAGCTGAGTGCAGTTTGCAATTGCCCCTCCCAGCATGGTCAGGGCAGTCTCTCCTGTCCTGGGTGAACATTGAGTGGATTACAAAGGTTTTGGTGTGGTAACATCTGTTTAGCACATAGAGTCACAGAGTGGTCAGGGTAGAATGGACTTCTGAAGATCATCTAGTCCACCCCCCTTGCTAGAGCAGGATCTTCTACAGTACATCACAGAAACGTGCCCAGATGGGTCTGCAAAGTCTCCAGAGGAGACTCCACACCCTCTCTGGGCAGCCTGTCCCAGGGCTCTGTTCCTCTCACAGTAAATAAGTTTTTCTTTACGTTTCACTTGACCCTCCCGTGCTGCAGCTTGTGCCCATTGCCCCTTGTCCTGTCACTGGACATTGCTGAAGAGAGCCTGGTCCCATCTCCTGACACCCCCTGTAGGTACTGATAAGTGCTGATGAGATCCCCCTTCAGTCTCTTCTCCAGGCTGAGCAGCCCCAGCTCCCCCAGCCTTTCCTCACAGGCAGATGCTTCAGTCCCCTCAGCATCTCAGTGGCCTGTGCTGGACTCTGTCCAGTAGCTCCTTGTCCTTTATGAACATGTAGTAAAGATAGAAGATGGATGTTAATTCCAATGCCAGTAGCTCATTGTCAGCAACAAACCCAGAATATTTATTTTAAGTGGCTCTAAAACTAAGTTATCCACAGGGTGTATTGGGGTATTACAGTAACACCCAATCAGACTCCAGGACAGTGTTGTGTGTGCTGTGAATGCCACCAGATATCCTGGCATGTTTACATCCAGACTGCTGATGTGCTGCACCTATTTCTTTTACCTTGTAGACATTAGAGGGGCACCAAGGCCCAGTGAAGTGCTTGGCCTTTGATCAGTGGCACCTTGTCACAGGAAGCACCGATGGATACGTCCTGGGATGGAGCATGTTGGGAGAGCTCAAGAGATGCCTCATAGCTTTCCGCCACCCGAAGTAGGAGGAGGATGTGTTCAAGCTGTAGTCAACAGCCTATTGCATCTACAAAGAAATAGTGTCCCTTATAGCAACAGAAAATGCCTTAATTATCAGTCCTAGTATTTAAAATCCCCTCCTTTCCAAAAAGTTTCATCTTAAAACCAGTGTCAGGCACTACATGGGCACAACCAGTGTTTGTCATCTATGACCAGTAACAACATAAAATGCAAATACCCAACCACTTGTTCACAAACAGGGATGAGTTAAGGCTGACAGGGCACAGCCCAGTATTCCAAGGATCCCAACCTGTATGCAAGAGGGTAGCACACTGCCTGCCAGGAAAAGATGCTGTGTGAGGTGGCTGAGTTAGATGCTGCACCCGACCAACCCTATGGGATATTTCCTAGTATTTTATTTGCCTACTAGAAATGTGAAACCTGTAGCATCATATTGTCTTAATTTACTTTTCTAGACATACAAATGAAATTTAAAATGCAGCAGCAGCCACACTGGTTGCTCTGAGGAGGCACTGAGTTGGGTGGTTTGGGTGTGGAGTGGTTATGAAGGGCTCCACTATTAGACCCTTTTAAATGCCTTGCTCAGCTCCTGTGTCCAGCCTGTTGATGGAGGCACCCATACCCTTGCATCTCCTTCAAGACAAGAGGTAGCTGACCATGTGTCCCTGTGAAAGCCTGGTGAAGCTGCCAACACTGACATGTCATCTTTTCAGGGAGATTCAAGCCCTGGAGTTCCTCTATCTCCGAGTCATCAGTGGCTGTGCTGATGGAAACATCCGGATCTTTAACTACCTGACTGGAAGCTGCCTGAAAGTGCTGATGGCCAATGGCAGAGGGAACCCCATCTCTTCATTCTGTGTTGCAGGAAACAGGTTGGTGACACCAGCTGCCATCAGTCTCTGAACAACATTAGGTAGATCACATTGTGACTGAAGGAACTGTGTGTTTTTCCTTTTGCTGTCCTGCTCACAAATGACCTTGAAAGGACTCTGCTGCTTATTGACTGCTCTAATAATCCAGTTTTGTTAACAATGCTGAAAATAGATTTGTTCAGTCCCTTTAGTAATGCACAACTTCCTGCTTCTATACAACTTCAGATATAGACCCAACTGTAAAGCTGAATTCAGAGCCCAAATTTCCCAAGAGGCTGGAGAATCAAGCCAAGGCCTGTGAAAGCCTTTACCTGTTCCCTACTCTGGCTCTTTATAAAAGCCAATCATGGAAAATCCTGCTAGATTCTCTCACTTCTGCACCTGCAAACAAAAGGCAGTTCCCAGCTTTAGTGGAAGCAACAGCTAAATCACAGGTGTGTTGTCAGGGCTGTTTTGGCACAACTCTGCAACCCAGCAATGTATGGGCTGCCAGGAAGAAAACTAACTCCACCCCTCCAGACCCAGTGCCCCCCTCCAATTTAGGTTTGAACATCCTTAATAATTTGGTTTCTCCAGTTTTTTCATCCATTGCACTGATCTAGCTGGCAATTCTCATCCTAATTATTTCTAAACTAATTTCATCATAGGCCTGAATGAAAATAACCACATGGAGCTCAAACAGAGTGTGAATTAAAATGTTCAGTGTCTGACAGGACTGACTGCTCCTGCTTCCTTAACCAAGTGATGGTTATCTGGGATCTGGGATTTGTTTGAGTGCCCTCGGGTCTGTATTGCACAGAGGTTATAGCTTGTAGGTTATAACCACTACATTAATAATGGGATCCCAGACTGGTTTGGATTAGAAGGGACCTTAAAGACCATCCAGTTCCAACCCCCTGCATGGGCAGGGACACCTCCCACCAGCCCAGGCTGCTCCAAGCCCCATCCAACCTGCCCTTCAACACTGCCAGTGACACCTGTGCTTTTAATGACTTCTCCTTCCCTGCTCCAGGATGGTGATCAACTCCCCAGCTAGTCTATTGCTGTTCCAGTTTGAGGATGTCAGGTGGAACTACACCTTAGACACTGACCGAGAGATGGTGGGGAAGAAAAACCAGCCAGCTGGGACTTCATGTGGAACACCACTGCACCTGCAGCAGACTCCAGGCCACCACCTCAGCCAGAGGCACCAGCTTGCTCTGGAGATGCAAAACACTGACCAGCTCATGCGGTCTTGCTGGATCCACTGCCAGACACTGAAAAGCTGTGGAGCATCTCCAAGTATTGCCTCCAGCCTCTGCAATAGGCTGGCATTTTCTCAATCAGTTAGAAATCATTCCAAGTATCCACTGCCTTCATCCTGAGCAATATACACACTCTCCCTGGGTTTTTAGAAGCTCAGTCTGGGAGATGGGCCGTTGCATTTCAATGGTTCTGTAATTTTTGGGGGTTTGTAAAGTCTTTTGTACCTTTTTAGAAAGTTTTGATATACATTCAACACTATTGTCAAGACAGGCACTGTAATTTTCCAACTGACTAACAGAAATCCATAATGTTATTCATATTCTTACAGCTGGGGTGCATGGAAACATGCTGCTGATTCAGTGCTTGAATTATGCCTTAAAAAATACTCCAGGAAGTTGTAGGACACCTGCATTCC